ATAAGTATAAATAAGTACTTACATTTGTGTACAAACTGTTTAGATTGTCAAAAAGCCTGTGTTTTTAGGGTTATTAACAAAGTTTGTGTACTCAGACCAGCAATATTTGGGGTCACAAGTTTTTGCCATGAATATTTTGTGGGTCAGAAGATAAAAAGTTTGGGAACCACTGGTTGAGATGCCATCGGTAGTCAAAAAGTGTCATTTAGGATTTGGATTTTAAATTACTGGTGATACAATCCCTCTCAATTCAATTGCAGAACGTATTTTAAATCGTTTCATGTTCCTGTGTCTCTACGTTGTTCATTTATGTGTTGCATCATTAATTTCAGAGTAAATRGATCATTTTGCTCCAGTTTGTGAACTCTCACTGCCATGATGAACCCATATAAACTCCTTGACCCATCTCTAGCGCCCTCTTGCGGTCYATGAGCGAATTGTTTCCGGTTTCTCCTCTACGTCGTCGCTGCTGACGAACATCCGGGTATTCTGTCGAGATGGTCATGGCGGAGGGTGCAGCAGTTCTCAGGAGGAATCGGCCTGGAACCAAGGCTAAGGTTTGATTTGCCCCCACAGGAACACCTCAGAAATTCTTTCAGAGGTTCACACGACTGTGTCGAGCTGAATCCGTAAAGCCGCGCCTCTTCTATAGATAGTTCGATTCAGTTGTCTTTAGCTACGAGCACCGTCTATTTCCTGGAGCAGCCTTACTCAACGAGTCTTGGTGTTGCCCTTTTTAGTCTGAGATTAACCTTTTAATGATTGTTTTTTAATAATTTATAATCATAATCGATGTTCCGTAGTTAAGGACGTTTACATACTTATTGAAAGCACACTCGTTACTTGGGTAAGAATGTTGTTTTAGCTTTGCAGGAAGTAGTCTTACCCATGTTGACGAGCTCATTAGCTCGAAAGCCTCGTAGCTTTATGTTTGTTAGTATGAATTTTAGGTAAAACATTTTTTCTTTCTGACAAAAAATTACCCACAGGATAGTCTGCAGACAACAAACAGTCGTCAGTTTTTACATTATTAGACAAAATTAAACTGTGTCAACGCTGCTAGCTAGCACTGGTTAGCTGACCTTTTCCCCTGAACTGTAAACACTGACCAGGACCTGACTTTTTGTGTGCAGGACTTTTACAACTGGCCTGATGAATCATTTGAGGAGATGGACAGCACGCTGGCTGTTCAACAGGTGTGATATACGTGTTTTGTACTGAACTTACTGCTGCTATTGTGTTTAGAGTGTAGAACAGTGTGTTCTGTGGCTTTTCATCAACACACACACACACACACACACACACACACACACACACACACACACACACACACACACACAC